ACCTAGCTAATTTTTGTATTTTTAGTAGAGATGGGGTTTCACCATGTTGGCCAGGCTGGTCTCGAACTCCTGACCTCAAGTGATCCACCCGCCTTGTGAGCCATGGTGTCCAGCCAGAAGGGTTTAGAGCAGTGCCTCACACATGGTAAACACTACAGAAATGTTCACCAAATGCACACACCAACCCCAGGGTTCCTCCATGGAGGTGTCATGGCCTGCACTCTTCTCACCCATGGCTGAGCAGGGTACCCTGAGGTGGAGGGGCCGGGCCTGGGAGTTCGCCCTTCTTGCCCGCACAGTTGGCTTTCTTCCTAGAGCAAGTGATCCTGAGGCTGGGGGTAACACCGTCATTCTGGTGGGGGGGTGGTGTGCAAGTGCCTCATGGGTCCTAGAGATGGTCTGGGGGCTGTGGAATAACTTCCGACAGTTTCCTTCCCCATATATATCCCTGATGTGCCCTGCATTTAATTTGTGGGCTTGGGACTTCATTAAGCCATTACTTGTAATGCCTCTTTTCTGGTAAGTTATGTGAAATCTTTGGATCTTTTGGAAATTCTAGTTTGGGCATATGTAGGCAGAATGGTTTTGTTGTACCCCAGAGGTTTTCCTAACGTGTTTTCCTTGTTCAGACCATCAGTGCTATAACGGCTCAGGCACGGATTACAGAGGAACGGCAAGCACCACCAAGTCAGGTCACCAGTGCCAGCCGTGGGCCCTGCAGCACCCCCACAGCCACCACCTGTCCAGCGCAGACTTCCCTGAGCTTGGAGGGGGGCACGCCTACTGCCGGAACCCCGGAGGCCAGATGGAGGGCCCCTGGTGCTTTACGCAGAATAAAAACGTACGCATGGAACTGTGTGACGTACCCTCGTGTAGTATGTATTCTCTCTCTTTTTTTACTGTGTTGATTGTTGAGTGAACCTTGTGATGAGGGCATTCTGTCCTGACCTGAGTTGGGGTGTGCCTCTGTACAGTGGCGACCAGAGACCTCTGATCTTACCACGGTGACCATTTTAAATAAAGCTTTTGGGCCAAGCACAGTGGCCGATGCCTGTAATCCCAGCACTTCGGGAGGCCGAGGCGGGCAGATCGTTTGAGGTCAGGAGTTCAAGACCAGCCTGGTCAATATGATGAAACCTCATCTCTACTAAAAAGACAAAAATTAGCTGGGTGTGGTGGCACACACCAGTAATCCCAGCTACTCAAGAGGCTGAGGCAGGAGAATGACTTGAGCCCGGGAAGCGGAGGTTGCAGTGAGCAAAGATGACCGCACTGCACTCCAGCCTGGGCAACAGAGTGAGACCCTGTCCTGAAAATAAATAAATAAATAAATAAATAACACAAGTTGTTATTGGTTATGAAAGTAACA